TGATGAGATAGAAAATGTCTAGGGGAATAGAATTCCTTTGGATGGTGTTGGGAAAGTTCTCTTTGTGAAGGTGACATTTTAGCTGAGACTTCAAAGATGAGGAGATCCCCCGACCCATGGCTGCAAAACCCCATAGACAGGTATTCTTAGTTGCAGGACAGCACTTACCAAGGCCCTGGGGGGTGCAGGGAGAGAGCGCCTGGTGGGCTGGTAGTGTGAGCATGGGGAAGGGAGTCAAGATGAAGCCGAGACATAGGCAGGGACCAGATCATAGGCTGTTAAGGCCATGGTGAGAATTCTCAGTTTATTGTAACTGCAGGGAATCTAATGAACCAGCTGCAGAGGTGCTTTTCCCGTGTGTGTGTGTGTGTGTGTGTTTGTCTTATGGAGAGGACACAGGGACACAGGAGGGAGAAACCTATTATTTTTCCTATGTGTAGATCCTTTTCAGCTGGTGATTTTCTCATTCAACCAACAGTGTTGCTTTAATGGTCAATAGGGGGCAACTTGTTGACTAGACTCTCTTCCTCTTCTCAGTAACTACTAATTTTTTGGAGCACTTAATCTGTGTTGGGTTCTGTGTTAAACGGTTTGCATTCATTATGTCATTTAATCTCCACTGGAGAGATGTGTACATTCTATTCTTGTCTCCATTTCGCAGATGGGGAAGCAAGCGCTCAAAGAAGTTAAGCAGTTAGCTCTGGACGCAGCTAGACAGTTCTGGAGTTTTACCCTTGGCTTCCCTCCTGCCTCTGTCATCTGTTTGCAGTCTGCCCAAAACTCCATGTCATCAATGATTTTAGTCACCAAGTGTGATGGCCTTTCCTTAGAACTATTCCTCACCGATTTTCCTTTTGGTTCTCTTTTTTCTTAAATTTCTCCCTTTTCTGGCTTCTGTACACTGGTTCTCTTCAGATGCTCTCGTTCTTTTTGAGCTGTCTCCTTCAACCCCACAGGCTTCTCTTGCCATACTCTTTCTTTGCGTGGTCTTGCCTCTGACAACCATCATCACTTGAAGGTGGGAGCTTTTATTTAAATTTTCTCTTAAGATGGAGGCAATCGCTTCTAATTTCCTGTTCCAGCATTTGGTAGGCAAATATTTGTTTTTTGTTTTTTTTTTAATTGACAATAGTTAGTGGGCACCTACCACATGCAAAGCTTTGTTCTAGGCATTGATGAGAATACAATGGCTGGGACAGGATCTCTGGGGCAATGGGATTAGCTTCATTTTTGTTCACACAGCTCTATTGCTGGAGCTTGTCATAGGTGCTCGGTATATATTTGTTGAATGAGTAATTTAGTTGGGGAGGCATACTTGCACATAACTGGCTCTAATTCAAGGTTGAATGGAGCAAATGCTCTAGTTAAGATGTCAGAAGGTGCTGAGAGAGCCCAACAGAGAAGGCTTCATGGAGGTGACATAGGCATTCAGTCTCTAAATCACCCTAAATCTTAGCGGTGTTCAAGAAATAGCAAGTGAGGGGTGCCTGGTTGGCTCAGTTGGTTAAGCATTTGACTCTCGATTTCAGCTCAGCTCATGATCCCGGGTCGTGAGATAGAGTCCCACATCAGGCTTTGTGCTCAGCATGGAGTCTGCTTGGGAATTTCTCCCTGTCTCTCTGCCCCTGCCCCACTCATGTTCTCTCTCTCTCTCTCAAATAAAAAAATAAATAAAACCTTAAAAAGAGAAAAGAAATAGCAAGTGATCTGGTGTGCTCAAGTATGATGCAGGAGGTAGTGAAAGATGGATGAGGTGAAATTGTGTTTTGGGAATCTCACTCTACTGCCAGTGTAGAGAATGACTTGTTTGGGGACAGACCATCCAGAAGAGTGGTTGCCTACCCAGGCCAATGGCATGGAGAAAGCAAAACAGGGAGAGTGAACGCAAGAGTACTATAAAAGTAAAATCTATGAGCCTTGGCATTTAACTAGATAAAGGGGTATAAGAAAGAAGCAGGAACTAAAAATGACTTTGAGGCATCTCACCTGGGTGACTGCATGGTGATGGTAACATTTCCCAAACAGGGAACAGTGAAGAAGGAGAAGATTTGGTAGGGACTATGGAAGAAACTAAGCTTTGTCTTGATGTCTTAAACTGGAGATGGTGGTGGAGTAAAGCAGGGGAGATAGCCAGCAGAAAGCTGAAAATAAAAGCTGGATTTCAAGAAATACAGGAGCTTTCAGAGCTGATTGAGGTGACTGACATCATGGGAGATGCTATGATGTGTGAGAGAGAATTTTTGTTCATAGTTTTATTTTATTTATTAAATTTTTTATTTGAATATAGTTGACACACAATATTATATTAGTTTCAGGTGTACAACGGAATGATTCAACTTCTCTATATGTTATGCTATGCTCACCCCAAGTGCAGCTACCATCTGTCACCATACAACACTATTACAATATTACTGACTATATTCTCTTTGCTGTGCCTTTTATTCCCATGACTCATTCATTCCATAGCTGAAGATCTGTATCTCCCACTCCCTTAACCCATCTTTTCCTTCCCCTTAGGCAACCATCAGTTTGTTCTCTGTAGGTCTGATTCTGCTTTTTATTTGTTTATTCATTTTTTTTTTTTTTTAGATTCCACATTGGAGTGAAATCATATGGTATTTGTCTTTCTCAGTCTGATTTACCTCACTTAGCCTAATACCCTCTATGTCCATCCATGTTGTTGCAAATGGCACCATCTCATACTTTTTAAAGGCTGCCTAATATTCCATTGTGTGTGTGTGTGTGTGTGTGTGTTTGTACACCACATCTTTTTAAAAAATCTATTTATCAGTGGACACTTAGGTCGCTTGTGGGAGAGAACTTCAGTTAAGCAGAAAAGAGGGCTGATGGCTGTGGACAACTTTTGAATATTTCTTTCTCTCCCGTGAGAGTTACAAATTCAGTGTGTCCAAAGTGGAATTACTCAATTTCTCACCAAATCTGTTTCTTTTCTTGACTTCTCTAGCTGTGCAAATGGTCCTGACCACTCTCTTAGTCATGCTGGCTCCAGACCTCAGTCCTCCTTGCCTCTTCCCTTAATTCTTTACATAGTAAGTTTCATCTATAGAAAATTCTGAAAAGGGGCTCCTGGGTGGCTCAGTCGGTTAAGCATCTGCCTCCGGCTCAGGTCATGATCCCAGGGTCCTGGGATTGAGCCCCACATCGGGCTCCCTGCTCTGCGGGGAGTCTGCTTCTCCCTCTGCCTCCTCCCCCTGCTCGTGCTTCCTCTCTCTCTCACACTTTCTCTCTCAAATAAATAAAATCTTTAAAAAAAAAGAAAGAAAATTCTGAAAATCCATAAAAATAACAGGTAGAAGATATAGTCATTTATAACGGAACTATTTTCAGTGATGTCTAGTGTATCATTTTAGTTATATTCCTAGGCAAGTACAGATTTAATTTCCTATACACATGAATACTGCCATACTCTACATTTTTAGAATAACCTTTTTATTGAAGTAAAACAGTCATGCAGAAATGTACACAAGCAGAAGCTGGTGACTTTTCATTCATTAAATATTCTTCCACATCAATTTTAAAAGGCTTCAGAGGTATTCCATCCCATAGATGTACCATAATTTAGACAACTAATCCCTGTTGTAGGATTTTTTTTTCTAGTTTTCTCATCCCTCTCTCCACAATTTAAATTTTTTGTACCAATTTCCAATTTTTCTTCAGAATAAAATTCCTTAGAGGCAGAATTTCTGGGTCAAAAGGCAGGTGCATTTTAAAAAATAACCTTTTTATTTTAGACTACTGTTAGGCATGCAGAAAAATTACAAAGGTACTACAGACAGTTCCTGTACACCCCATACTCAGTTCCTCTATTAACATCTTACATTAATATAGAACATTTGTCACAATTAATGAACCAACACTGAGGCATTATTATTAACTAAAGTCCATAGTTTATCCAGGTTTCTTTAGTTTTTACCTAAGGTCCTTTTTCTGTTCCAGTATCCCACCTAGGATACCACACTACATTTTGTTGTCACATTTCCTTAGACTCTTCTTGGCTGTGAGAATTTCTCAGACTTTCCTTGACTTTTTTTGCCCTTAACAATTTTGAGGAATACTGGTCAAGCATTCTGTAGAACGTCCCTCAATTGGGGTTTGTCTGATTTTTTTCTCTTGATTAGACTGGGTTTATGGGGTTTGGAAGGAAAGTATCATAGAGATAAAATGCCACTTTCATCATATCATAGCTAGCCTACATAGGATCAACATGATTTATCACTGTTCATGTTAACCTTGATCACCTGGCTGAGGTAGAGCTTGCCTAGTGTCTCCACTACACTTATTTTCCCTCTTTCCATGCTGTACTCTTTAGAAGGAAGTCACTATACTAGCCCACATTCAAGGAGTTGGGAGTTTTATTTCAGGATGAATTATCTACAGAAATTCTTCGGAATTTTTCTGCTCCAGAGATTTATCTTCTCTTCCCTGTTTATTATTTTATTCATGTCAGTATTCATATCATTAGTTTATTTATGTCACTATGGACTCATGGGTATTAATTTTACAGAGTTTTAATCCAATAGTACTTTACTTGTTTTGTTGCTCAAGGCATCTGTATTTGCAAGACTGAGTAATTCACTTCAAAGGTACCCGGCTAATAGTTGTGCCAACTCTCACAGTCAAGAATGAGGATACATTTCCTCTCAATTTCACACACCCTTTATAAAAGTAGGTCAGCAAACAAGGGCGAGGCGGAGGTCCCTCCCAGTTTCTTGACGTTCCCAAGGCAGACGAGGCCAGACTGGGGAGGGGTGTCCTTTCCCACATGTGGACATCATCCCTTACCCCGCCCGCCCTTAACCACCGCCCCCTGGGGCCCCCAACCCCTGTTCCCGGCTTCTCCAAGGCCCCGCCCTCCGTGGGACGGAAGTGGGCGCGGCCACGGACCGGAAGCGCTGGGCACGGGCGGGCCTTCTCGAGCAGCTAGCCCCTCCCACTCCACCACTGCCCCACCCCTCCGGCCCAGACAGGAAATGAGGTCAGAAAGGGAAACCCCGGCGGGGAGACTCGGCCCCAAAAGCGGCGGCCATTGGAGGTGGCTGCGGCAGCTGGTGAGGGGGAGGAGTGGGTTGAGAGGGTCGGGGTCCCGGGGGCCGGCGCCAGCGGGGATCGGGACTACCGGCCAAGGCCGAGGGGCCATAGCCGCCACGGGGCTGCGGAGGTTGGCGGGAGGGGCGAGGGTGGCTGGGCCTTGTTTTTCAGGGCCCATCGACCCCATCCCGGGGAACCAGGTTCGGGCGTCTCCGGGGCGACAGTCACCTCTTCTCCTTTCTTCTTTCTGGCTCTTTTGGGCATACGACAGCGTGAGGGCTTGGTGTCCCGAGCCGTGTTCGCCCTAGTCTTCGGGGGCGGGCCGGGGCGTGGGGGAGTCCGTCCAAACAAGCTCTTTCTCACATCTGTGGCCATGTTGCGACCCCTGATCACGGAGGGAGTTTAGTCGCCAGGACTTTTTTTTTTTTGCAGTTTCTGCCCGAGAAGGGCTGACTCCCTGCCCCGGTGAGCCCAAATGAGAAGTTGCTTCCTGCCGCCTGCCTCCGTCCCAGCTCCTCGCAACCCCGTCTTTCGCTCCGACCGTATGCCTGCTTTTTTTTTTGTTTTTTTTTTTTTTAACTTCTATCCGTTTCCCGTTCTTTTCTTTGCGTGACTTACCTTTCCTCTCCTCGAGTGCTTGCTGGACAAGGGGGTCCTCTCGGAGTGTGCACCCGAGACTGACGGTGTGGGAAGCTCAGGGTTCTGTCACCAACTGTTCGAATTGCAGTCCTTTCGATAGGAAAGGATTCTGCACAAATAGCTGCAAGTGGTTCTGTAACGTTGTTCCACGTTAAAGTGTACAGTTCCGCCTGAGTTTTTAAAGCAGTAGTTCTTTATTAAGGAAGTAGGTTTAGACGGGCTGTCCCTACATCTCTTTTGGTCTTAGGGGCAGTTGTCTCCCAAACCCCAGTCAGGGCGTTTTAAACTGCTTCGTATTGCTTAAAGGGACGTGGTCATTTTATGTTGTGTGGCTTTTGAAACTTTGAGACGTTTTGTTTGGTTGGTAGTTTTGGAACTAGGTGTCCCCATTGCTCCCACCCATGTGGCACATAAGCCAGCCTACTGTTTTCTTGCCTTTGAATTCGTTGGCATAGGACAGCATGAAAATAGGTTTTAGAAAGTCCTTTGTGGAATGTAAACTGCATGAATGGAAATACGGTCTAAGAGTGGCGCCACACAGTTTTAAATTCTAATTATGGACTTGAAATTGGGCTTAACAAGGGCTAGGGAAAAGATGCTAAATTAATACGTATTTAATAAGGAGTTGTACAAATTATATTAGACCTTTCCCTTTAAAAGGTCGTTTTGAAAATTTCTCCTACTGCTCTCATCCGTTAGAAGGTTTGCCTCTGAAGTGACCCCTGAAGTATGAGGGTTTGACAAGAATGAATATAAAAATTTAGAAAGCGGTTAGCTAGAAATCTTAGAGACTCCATCTATCCCTGTCCTTTCAGCCTCTGTTATAGCCTGCTTTTGTGTGAGTGGTACTAAAGCACATAATTATGATCACTTAATTTTCTGAAGGATAGGAAAAGAGCTAAAAAGTTGCTAATTGTTAAAAAATATATGACATACCCGGTAAATTTCCTTCCCTGCTAGCTTCCAGTTGGTATTTGGGACCAGAATGGGTGCAGACTTAGTCTCTTTTTTCCATTCAGGGTACACATCTGGGTCACTACAATTTCTTGGATTACTAAAACTGCAAGCAGTGGTCCCTAAGGTGTGTCACTAAGTTGTCTTTCTCCTCCCTTCCGCAAGTGTTCTTTTTTTTTTAATTTTTTTTTTTAAGATTTTGATTATTTATTTGACAAGAGAGAGACACAGTGAGAGAGGGAAACCAAGCAGGCATTCTTATCAGTAACCCCAGAGCATGGAATAGTTCTTTATCCATGGTTTTGAAGTTGTGTGTTTTTCTGCTGTTTTCTAATGAGACTTTCTCTAATCTTTTTGGATTTTATCATCAGATAATTTAGTGATAAGTTTAACTGGGAAAAAGGGGGAAAGTTTATTTCCCTGGGTTTGCTCATTTTTGCTAATATCCTAGTTGTGATCTGGTGAGTGATTTTTTTGTGCTTTAAGAACATGTTTACTTGAGGTACCTAACAAGGGCCAAACACCTATTTTTGGTGGCTTAAGGGTGCATGGATGGGAGGAACAGAGTCTTAAGTGTAGCCAGATGAAAGGTGACTTTGTTTTCTGTAGATAGGGTGGATTCTGTAGTGCCATGATATATTTTATAAAACTATTCTAAACAACAGAATCTTATTCAGGCTTTCTTTTTCTTTTTTCCTGAACTTTCTTTTGGCAGATGTGGCCTCATGGATGAGCTGGTACATGACTTAGCCTCAGCCTTGGAGCAGACATCTGAGCAGAATAAGCTTGGTGAGCTGTGGGAGGAGATGGCCCTGAGCCCTCGCCAGCAGAGGCGGCAGCTTCGCAAAAGGAGAGGCCGCAAGCGCCGTTCAGACTTCACTCACCTGGCAGAGCATACCTGTTGCTACAGTGAGGCCTCTGAGTCCAGTCTCGATGAGGCCATTAAGGACTGTCGAGAAATGGCCCCTGTTGCCAATTTTAGTGACTCTGATGACACAATGGTAGCCAAACGGCACCCAGCTCTCAATGCCATGGTTAAGAGTAAGCAGCACTCTTGGCACGAATCTGACTCCTTTACTGAAAATGCACCATGTCGACCGCTCCGGCGCCGGCGGAAGGTGAAGCGAGTGACATCAGAGGTGGCTGCCAGCCTCCAGCAGAAGCTCAAGGTGTCAGATTGGAGCTATGAGAGAGGCTGCAGGTTCAAGTCTGCTAAGAAGCAGCGTCTGTCCCGCTGGAAGGAGAATACTCCCTGGACCTCCTCAGGTCATGGGTTGTGTGAGTCAGCAGAAAATAGGACTTTCCTAAGCAAAACAGGAAGGAAAGAAAGGATGGAGTGTGAAGCAGATGAACAAAAACAGGGCTCTGATGAGAACATGTCAGAATGGTGAGAACTTCCTTACTCAGGGTTATTTTTACCCCAAGTACAAATCCACAGTCTTGATGAGTTCAGCTTTCTTTCCAAAGTAGCCACTGTAATGTTTACTTTGTAGCCCTCCTTTAAGCAATCAGCTAGGGTTTATCTCTAGCTTTTTACAGTACATTCATCATTCTGTTTCCCCGTGTCAAGGAGGCTACATATAATGAAACATATTTGTTTCTAAAAATGGTTTAAAATGTGTACTTCACATGCGTAACCATGAATTTTATTTTAAAAACAATTTACTGCTGTTTATGCCATGTAGATCATACGTAGATGTTGTAGATGTTGTTAGAACGAGGGTCTCAGCAGAGGCTGGGGGGTGTGTTTGTGTACGTGAGAAAATGCTGGTGCGAGGCACATGGAGTTTGTGTGTTTTCCTGGTAAACTGCCTTTCCCCATCAAGAGTCATGGCTTTAGATACTGGGCTATAATTCTGTTGTCTGCTCCTTCCAGTTTGACTGTATGGAGCTTATTTTTTATGGCTGACATTCAGGTTGTCTGAACACATGGTGGGCTTTGAAAATAACAGTACTGAATCCCATTAGTCTTATAACAAATGTCATCGAGCCAGAAACATTTGGATCTGTTGGGTGTATGTTTAAAATGGCAGTGTAGTTTTCAGTGACTTTGTTTTTTATATCTCACATAGTCCTAGGAACATTGATAATCCCCATCTTGATACTTCAGTATTATTCTTAATATCAGCATGATATCTGTTTCTCAAGGAAGATGCTCTTGGTGTTTTGGATGAGGCGATTCTTTGTGGTCAGGGACTGTCCCATGCTTTACAGGATATTTGGCATCCCTGCATTGTTCCCATCCCCTTCATAGTATCAAAGCAAATGCCTCTATGGGTGCTGCCTTTTCCCGGTTGAATGTTCAGAATTCCACTGTATGGTAGGCACCGCTGTTCGTATTTTATAGAAGAGGAGATGGAGGTTAATAGCATTTAGATAATTTGCCTAAGGTCACCCAGTGGCAAAACTAGGAATTGAACCTGATTCCGAAGTTCATACTTAACCACCACTTTTTGCCGCCATTTAAGTGTGCCTTTTCCATGGCTCCTTTTCCGTCTCATTGTAGTTTTACACCTGTAGAATGTGTGGCCTTTCTTAGGACTTTCCTTTTTTGAAGTTTGTCTGAAAAACAAAGACATAAATCGTAGGAACTATGAGGTGAAGCTATGTCAGTAACAGAGAAAGCTGCTTAGGTGTTTATCCCTGTACCTTTAATGGGTGATTTTTAACCCAGTTTTAAGAATTTTTCTGACTAACTGTATATTTGCCAGTCTGCACAACCAGATAGGCTTATAATTTGGCTTCCCTAATTTTCCTTTAATGTATATCCTAAGACCGATTTGCCCGATTTATATGTATGATTTTGGGTTATAAAGGGTTTGTTTATTGTTATTTTTAATCAAATAAATGTTTAGTCAACTTACAGCCTTTTACAATATCAAAACCCTCATTTGAGGCATTTAAGTTTGTTTGGTATCAAACCTATATACCAAATAATTTACTGTTGAAAATAGTGATTGTTAAAAATTGGTTTTTGCGATGAAAGCTTGTGTATATTTTTTCCCCAGAATTTCTTGTTAAATTATGAAGTAATTGTAGGTGAAGAGACTGATTCTGTCTACTCTTAAGGTAACAGTCCAAGAATGGTTCCAGATACAGAGTCTGTAAGTAATCTAGCAGTGAGGCACTTCAGTCTTTCCAGTTCCTTCTTACCCCAGACACATCTATTGCATGTTATAGTCAGGTTGTAATAATAAACATTCTAGTTATATGAGAGCTTTGATAAGTTGAAGTAGCAGCAATTCTTAGGAAATTCTTATTCTTTTCAAATTGAGAAGACCTTGTTCCCCCCCATTTGTGCTATCTGCCTGGTCCATGACTTCAGAGTTCTTTAATAACATGGATGCCCAAGTCCTTGTAGCTATGAGGGAATAATAGGTTGAGTAGTAGCAGACCTAAAATGAGAATAATTCTTCTTTAGAATCTAATTATTTAGGAGTCTTAAATATGCCTCGACTTATGTTGATTCATCTGTAGTTATGAGCAGAAGTGCTCTGTATTTTTTCACCCTAAATCTACTCTATGGAGAAAGAGAGGTGACTGCAAGTTATATTCAGTCTCCTAAGTAAGATGGAACTAAAATCTTCTTCCCTCAATTATTATTATTTAAAGATTTTATTTATTTATTTGAGAGAGAGAACATGAGCCGGTGAGGGGCAGAGGGAGAAAGAGACTCCCCGCTGAGCAGGGAGCCTGATGCAGGACTTGATCCTGGACTCCACGATCATGACCTGAGCCGAAGGCAGACGCTCAACCAACCGAGCCACCCAGGCGCCCCTAGAACTTTACTTTTTATCAGTGGTATTAAAGATTGTCAGTCTGTATGATTCAACTTGTAAAATTATTAGGATGAAGGTGATCATTAAGCTTAATTTAGTCTTGTCAGTAGATAGAATTCTTTTAAAAAAATGTGTGTCATATGTTTTAGGTTTGAAAGTGTATGTCTCAACCAGAGAGCTTTATTTCTCATTTCCTTAAACTCACTTTACTAATTAACCATGGAATAGTCTTAAGTTTGACCAATAATTCTTTTTACTTCTCTTTTTCTGTTCTTCGTTCAACTCTACACCAACCAATCCCTTAGAAGTTCTGAGGAACTGAAAGTGGTTATGATGTAATAGTATTTTATACCTACAAAAAGATCAGTTGTTACTTTAATATTTTCCTGTGTATGTGTGTTCCATTCTAAAATGGAGCAGTTCTTTTGTAAAGTTAGTTTTTACTGTATTCATATTGTCTATATAGCATCTATTAAGTGATTCATAGGCTAATTTTGCTCTATTCTCCACTAACATATCATTTGTCTGTTCCCCCTGAATATAGTTTAGCTTCTGTTCTTTTATAAGTGAATTGGTTTGGTGTTGACCTGAAGTCTCGGTCAGGAGCCTTCCTAAGGTGATGTATTAGAGGCTGATCTCACAGGAAAGAAAATATTCCCTTCTCTTGGAAGGCAAGTGACAGAGATAGAGTGCTAAACCTCCCCCCTCCTTCCCCAGCCCAGGCTGACCTTCTGCGGCCCCTGGTGCCTCTTGTTTTCTTATTTTTATAGAAAATCAATATCCCTTCTGACACAAACAATAGCTCAGAAGCAAGAATAAATGGGAGAAAGCTGAGATCTCTGTCCATCACCTTTCATTTTAACTCCCCCAAACTCTTTAATTATGAGCATGCTTTGCTGCAGGTGTTTGTGACAGTGAAATTGCTAAATGAGGACCATTTTAACCAAAGATTGGGTGATCAGTAACACTCTATAGCAGTAGCTTATTGGATCAATAGCATTCATTATTTCATGGTTAAGGTAAGTAGCTTCTTTTGCAAGTGGAGCTCATTAATCAGAGGCTACTGGAACTGTGGGAAAGAATATACGCGGTAGGTTGAGGTTGTTTTGTTTTCCATTCCATAACTGGGGATGCTGACCAAGAGTACATTTACCATTGTTGCAAATGGTACTGTTGCATTTGAGAGTATTAAATAGGTACCGTGGTGTGCTTACATAGATTTACTCCAAGTTCTGCTAGTATATATCCTTAGGAACAACTGAGAAAGACAGCTTGGGAGGTGGATTTGATACTACTGTATTTGAAGATCTGTCTCTTGAAAGAAATGTGTTCAGATTATTTTGTGTGACTCTAGAGGACAGTGGTAGGACTCATAGAAAGCACAGAGAGTTAAATGTTGCCTCACTAACATTCTAAAAATTTGCACTCTAAAAATGAAATGAATTGTTTCACGAGGTGATGAGCTCTAGGTCACTGAAGGGGTTCAAGCCTGGGCTTTGGTGACCACGTACTGAGTTAGTGTAGAGTTGGAGAGGTTGCACTGCATGATCTTTCAGGTCCCTCCGACACTGAGATTCTGTCATTCTTTTCAGTCACAGCCCCATTCCAGCGCATCATTGCAACTTTATATTTTAAAAAGCATCTGATAAGCAGCATCAGCTGCTCACTAAAATACTTACAAAGACATAAAACATTGTAAACTCACATCATCAGAACCTAGGACCTAGAGTGGGCCTCTTGCCAAGATTTCCTCAAACCACAAGGCTGATAGGTGTGCGGCTGGAAGCCCACATCAGCAGTGCCAAACCGATGCTGAAGGTAGGTAGCGAGAGCCTTCCTCCTTGCTCTGTAGTCAGATCTTTGTTCACAAATGCAAGGTCCATTTCAGTCAGAAAGTCAGGCAGCTGCAGCTTGAGCTGGAGTGTTGTTCCTTCCTTTACAGTAGTCCCCTCTTATACACAGTTTCTTTCTGTGGTTTCAGTTCCCCACAGTCAGGGGCAGTCTGGAAGCAGATGACCCTCCTCCTGCCACATCAGAAGTAGTCGGAGTAGCCTAACAACCTCACAACGCCTGCGTCATCCACTTCACTTCATCGCGTGCCGTAGGCATTTTATCCTCTCACATGATCCTAAGAAGAAGGGTGAGAATAGTAAGATATTTTGAGAGGAAGAGACTGCATCCATAAAACTTTTATTATACTCTATTGTGCTATTTTATTATTAGTTATTGCTTATCTTTTACTTTGCTTAATTTATAAGTAAAGCTTAATCACAGATATGTACGTATAGGAAAAAACATGGTCTATATAGTGTTAAATACTATACAGTCTCAGGCATCCACTGGGAGTCTTAGAAGTCTGCCGTGGATAAGGGGGAGCTACTGTACTTCCCAGTCGGTATCTTTCAGTCTTTATTTGGAGGCTCTAACTCCCAGAATACACTTGGATAGGGAATTAGTGTTTTCTGTGTGTGCATTTGTGTTTGGGGTAGGAGGCAGTCATGGCAAATTGAATCCTGGGAAATATATTCTCCAAGAATAAAGTTTACTGTTGGCATGGGCAGAGAAGAAAAAAAAATCACTCTTAGTGGTGCATTCTAGAAATTGTAAT